CAGTAGGTAAAGATGTTAATCCAAAGATTGGTTTCAAGTGGACTTCTATTAGTCTTCTGCTATTCCTCAAAACTAAACAGACATATATTTTGAACCACTTATAAACTATTTATTGTTCAAATGTAGTCACATTCACTAAACAAAACTGTTCCCCCCCAAAAAATGCTTACTGTAAAAATCTATACTTACCTGGCTTTTTGGTAACCGAACTAGGATTCTTAGTAGAAACTAAAATATAAAAGTAGAATATAATTAGTTGGAATCATCAGTTATTGTAGAGCAGGAGAAACATTTAGTCCCTGAATCCTTTTCCGTAGCCCTTCAGAGCTGAAAATTGGTGGCATAATTTAATGTAATTCTGAAGTGGGAAAGCATTAAAATAGGCTTAATGCAATTTTTAAAAAATACTCTCATCCAATGAATTAATAGAAAACAAGAAAAACTTAGCTATCCCCACCCATTATTATTCTGTCACTGTAAGCACTGATGCTCCAAAAAATCTTCAGTATGTCCCACAGTCATAAAATCGCCCATCCCTGCAACAGAGTGATGCTAAACTGACTTTGTAATAATTAAATCTACAAATAGATACAGATTAGATTTTTAAAAATTCTTTTCCAACCCCAACAGGATGTTGGGAAAGAAATATGTGAAGGGGCTTGGGATTCTGTTATTCAGCAGGATAAGTCTCTAAAAATATGAACAGAAGAGGAACAAATTTGGTATGATAGAGGATGCCAGCAAAAGAAAGATCAGGTTTGACAGTGGGCTGCATCCAGATTGGGGCTATGGGGGGGAAAAAACCCACTCCTGAAAAAAATTTCCCAAAGCCTATATGAAAGGCAGTTGGGTGATAGCTCACAGTGCTACTGATTGTCCCATTCTAAGCCATCCTCCCTTATCTGTCCTGGAAATTTGTACTGATATATATTAAGTTACCCTGTGATTCCCAGTGCACACATAGCACAAGGGGAAAATAAAATCACAAACACAGAGACATATTATTTCGTGTGCCATACATAATAAAATACAGATGTCTGCTATGGCTACTGCTGGTGAACAGGTTGAAGAGAGTTTCAGAAGCCATGTTCACCATACTTTCTCTAATTTGTTATTCTATTCAGCCTAATGGAAAGGTGGAAAGAAATTATATGAAGGGTTTTGGGACTTTCTGTCTGTCCATCAGCAGAATGGACACAAAGAGAATATTCAGTGAAAATTTAGTGAGCAGAGAAACCAGGAAAAAAAAAAGATCAGGTTTAAAAATGGCTCAGATCCAGCTGGGGACTATGGAACAAAGAAAGAAACAAGCAAACAAACCCATCCATCCATCCATCCATCCATCCATCCATCCATCCATCCATCCATCCATCCCCCGGTCCATCTCTACAGGAAGAACCAGGGTAGCTGCTTGGAATGCTCTCAACTCTTCCTATCTAAGCCGCTCCTTTCTCTCCTGCCTGGCCACATGACCCAGAATGGGGTGTATGCGGCCCATCCCATGCTTCTTAGAACACATGCATATACTCATAGATGTAATATGCAGGGAGAAGAAAAGTACACACACAAAAGTCCATTATTATTAGACTCTCAGACACATACACACACAGAGAGGCAATGCTATGCCCATCACCTAATCTCTGGAGAAAAAAAGGCATGCACAGAAACACACAGAACACTTTATTACATTACACAGAAGAAAATACAGATGATTCCTATAGGTACTACTGGTAAACGAGTTGGAGAGAATTCAAGAAGCCATGGTCTGTTGTTTTCATGTTAGTGGTGGTGATGATTATATAATTACTGACTTTCTAAAAAAAACCTAGGCGTGATAACAAACATATATTTAAAAACCTTACAAAAATTAGCATGCTATCTAGTTTAGAAGAGCTTCATTCATAATTTGATGTCCTGCCAGCAAATTAAAGTTTACTAGCAGAATAAAATGCACTATTAAAACCAGGAAGATCTTAGGCACCTAGATTGAGCAAGCTGAAATAATGCAGCATTATACAACTCAAACAGAGTCAGGTTATTATTTGACTTAACTAACATTACATTATAATGTAATATTAGTATTACTAAAATATGTATAGAAAGTCATTTGCAGGTGTCATAGGATTGTAATTACTTACCTACATTTCCAAGTGCATCACTTAAGTCAAAATCACCTTGTCCTATTCCATAAAAACAAAAACAAAATCATTATTGTCTTGCATGTTCTACCCAACATTTAGTTAGTTAGTTAGTTAGTTATAGGCTGCCACAATCTGTACAGCTGTGGGTGATTTACACACACACAATACACACACACACACACATATAAACAGAGAATATATAAACTACAAAGAAAGTTCAGAGAAAAAGCAACGAACGAAAACAGCTAAACATCCCACCAGATGTTCCAGAGAGCAGGCAAAAAAGGCCCACTTCCTGGGTGCCATCAGGGACATTGTTTAATTGATGGGACTATGTGCATGTTGACTCTGTCAGACTGTCTGAGACAGGCAAAAACAACAGGATATAGTCCCTCAAATAACCTGATCTCATGCTATGAAAGGCTGATATCCAGTGATAACCAACACCTTGATTTGCACCTGGAAACCTATTGGGAACCAACACAATTCACAAAGCAGAGGCATCAGGTAGGCACGTCATGGCCTGCCAATAACCACCTGTGCCAGCAATAGCTTCCGAGTGATCTAGTTATGGCTAAAAGATCATGAGTAAAGAATTTCTTCTCTTGGTTCAATGTCCCCTTCTTTCTTGCAAGTCTTAAATATGTTTCAAAACAGTACTCCTGACTCTGTTCATACAATGTACTAAACCTGACAGTTTATCAAATTAATGCAATTAATTGGCTCACATAACACACACCCACTAACATCAATCAACTCACCTAAAACAGTTAACTGACAGATGTTAATATTCAGTACCAGCAGCATCTGCAGCAAACTACAACAATGCCAAAATTATGGCCCAAATATGAAGCACATACCAAGATGATCAGTATGTATTTGTACATGCTAGACATTTGGTGCATTTATTCACAAAGTTGATTGCTAATTCTGTGGAAAAGGTTATAACAGAAAACACTCTCACATGTACCGGCTATATTATTTCTAACGTTCTTCCTTCAAAGGAATCTCCCACTGCTTCCCACATAAATGGGAATATAAAGAGGGAGAACTGGTATGCCCTTAACAGAATCTGAGACAACAGATCCAATATACTCAGCTAAAATAAAAACAAAAAAAGAATTGCATGAATAGAACTGAAAAAAAATGCTTAGTACATGATCATTTGGATGTCTATAAAGTTAACACTCTCACAGAGAAATAAAATATTTTGATTAGCAATATAGAGGGCCAGTTTAATCCTCTGGCCTCACATTAATTGTTCTATTTAAACACCCTCCTTTAATATTGCTACTGGGAAAAATGTTTTTTTCTTCTACATTTTAGAAGGCTGCAGTGTCATAACAGCTGTAGCCCTGCTCCAAAGAGCCACTGTTTGTGAAAATAACCCTTACTACCACCATAGGCCATTGCATTCACGGAACTACAGGATATCAATAACAGATCCTGTACGGACTAGATTGCTTACGCTGTGGCTGGGGGTGCCACAGAGATTCACAGACACCTGCCAAACTGCCTGCCTTTGTTTTATTGCTTTAGATTATTTTAATTAAAAACAATGATCGGGATACAAGCATTCTGCAAAGCAAATCACCAACCATGCGCATAACTTGTATTTCAACAATGCTGCTAAGGTGCTGCATAGACTCAGTCTTAGAAAATAAAATGTTGGATGACTACAGCCAAAGCTTTGTTCATTTATCAGTAAATTGCTATTTTGTTAATGGTCAGACTAACCCTTGACACCATTATGTGAGAGGACCATAACACACTCTCAAAATTCCAAACGTGCCCACTGGTAAAAAAAAAGTTGGGAACTCCTGTTTCATAGCTGTTGGGTTGAAGAGAATTTTGAAGAGAAAGAAAGGAACCATCCATCAATAGAATTATCTTTAGCAACAGAAATTAGCAACCAGTTCACACATCTTCTTATGAAATGATTTTTGACCTTCAACCCTGTGATAAATATCAGTGTGGAAACCATTCTGCTGGTGGATGCACCACACATGAAGCCAAAATGAAACTATATACTTGGGTGTTTAATCTTGTCAGATGTTCAGCAATCAATCAGCAACTGATCTTCACTCATCAGTCATGCCAAAAAGTAGATATACCTATATTTCCAACATTAACTACGTTACACATGATCAAGAGTGTTCAGTCAAAATACTTCCACAACTTTTGTTTATAAACCAATCAGGGATCAGTGAGAAGAGAACTTTAAACTATATGCCTTCTCCAACTAGTCTAACAGAGCCTTTTTTATGCCCTTACTATCTGGGTTGTGAAAATCAGGCCCATGCCACAGAAAAATCAGACACCTAAGAATGAATACCTCATAATACAGGAGCTCGCTATATATCAACTTTTCCATTCTTAACTCTACTTGGGAGGTAGAACCTTATAATCTTATCAGTAAGGATGAGCAAAAATGGTCAGGCATGAATTGGGCACAATGGTTTGTGCCCAAACTGAAGTGTGAATGTTTAGATAGCATATGAAATGAAACAGATAATGCAGGCAGAAGTGACTGGGAAGCAAGAGCAGAAACAATTAAGGCCGACAGATTTTCGTGGTGATGGTGGCAACAAGTGTGGAGAGACAGGAGAAAGGAAGGAAGGAAGGAAGGAAGGAAGGAAGGAAGGAAGGAAGGAAGGAAGGAAGGAAGGAAGGAAGGAAGGAAG